TTAGTGTGTGTGGGTGCCTGCTAAATAGGTACCGTAGTTTTAGTGTTGTGGGTGGCTGTAAATTAGGTTACATGGTTGTTAGTGTCTGTGGGTGGCTGTAAATAGTACCTGGTTTGTTAGTGTGCTGTGGGTGCCTGCTAAATAGGTACCCTGGTTGTTTAGTGTGGTGGGTGCCCTCTATAGCGTTAACTAGGTGGTAGTCTCTTTGTATAGAGGTGACTGTAGTAACTCTTAGATAGGGATGGCCTTTAAAGTGAGTTGAGATAAGATAACACCTCTTAGCTGTTAATGAGGTGAGGTAAGATAACAGCTTTTAGCTGTTAATGAGGTGAGGTAAGATAACACCTCTTAGCTGTTAATGAGATTAGGTAAGATAACACCTCTTAGCTGTTAATGAGGTGAGGTAAGATAACACCTCTTACCTGTTAATGAGGTGAGGTAAGATAACACCTCTTAGCTGATTAATGAGGTGAGGTAAGATAACACCTCTTAGCTGTTAATGAGGTGAGGTAAGATAACACCTCGTAGCTGTTAATGAGGTGAGGTAAGATAACACCTCTTAGCTGTTAATGAGGTGAGGTAAGATAACACCTCTTAGCTGTTAATGAGGTGAGGTAAGATAACACCTCTTAGCTTATTAAGAAGGTGAGGTAAGATAACACCTCTTAGCTGTTAATGAGGTGAGGTAAGATAACACCTCTTAGCTGTTAATGAGGTAAGATAACACCTCTTAGCTTATTAAGGAGGTGAGGTAAGATAACACCTCTTAGCTGTTAATGAGGTGAGGTAAGATAACACCTCTTAGTTATTAAGGGGTGAGGTAAGATAACACTCTTAGCTGTTAATGAGGTGAGGTAAGATAACACTCTTAGCTTTTAATGAGGTGAGGTAAGATAACACCTCTTAGTTATAAGGAGGTAAGAACGCCTGTGAATGAGGTGAGGTAAGATAACACCTCTTAGCTGTTAATGAGGTGAGGTAAGATAACACCTCTTAGCTTATTAATGAGGTGAGGTAAGATAACACCTCTTAGCTTGTTAATGAGGTGAGGTAAGATAACACCTCTTAGCTTGTTAATGAGGTGAGGTAAGATAACACCTCTTAGCTTGTTAATGAGGTGAGGTAAGATAACACCTCTTAGCTGTTAATGAGGTGAGGTAAGATAACACCTCTTAGCTTATTAATGAGGTGAGGTAAGATAACACCTCTTAGCTGTTAATGAGGTGAGGTAAGATAACAGCTCTTAGCTTGTTAATGAGGTGAGGTAAGATAACAGCTCTTAGCTTGTTAATGAGGTGAGGTAAGATAACACCTCTTAGCTGTTAAAGGTGAGGTAATAACCCTTAGCTTAAGGGTAGGAAGATAACAGCTCTTAGCTTGTTAATGAGGTGAGGTAAGATAACACCTCTTAGTTAATGAGGTGAGGTAAGATAATAGCTCTTAGCTTGTTAATGAGGTGATGTAAGATAACACCTCTTAGTTAATAAGGTGAGGTAAGATAACAGCTCTTAGCTTGTTAATGAGGTGAGGTAAGATAACAGCTCTTAGCTTGTTAATGAGGTGAGGTAAGATAACAGCTCTTAGCTGTTAATGAGGTGAGGTAAGATAACACCTCTTAGCTTAACAAATTAATCGTGTACAAAAAAATAACTCGCGTTGGACAAGTTATCGCTCAGTGATTCCAATTACTTACTGACCGACTGTTGAAAATTAAAGTGCTAACCTGCACATCAATTTGTGGAGGGAAGATTAACAGGCATTAACGAGGCGTACAGACATCAACGAGGCGTAAAGACATCAACGAGGCGTACAGACATCAACGAGGCTTACAAACATCAAGGAGGCGTACAAACATCAACGAGGCGTACAAACATCAACGAGGCGTACAAACATCAAGGAGGCGTACAAACATCAATGAGGCGAACAAACATCAACGAGGCGTACAAACATCAACGAGGCGTACAAACATCAAGGAGGCGTACAAACATCAATGAGGCGAACAAACATCAACGAGGCGTACAAACATCAACGAGGCGTAAACATAACGAGGGTACAGGATCAACGAGGCGTACAGACATCAACGAGGCGTACAGACATCAACGAGGCGTACAAACATCAACGAGGCGTACAAACATCAAGGAGGCGTACAAACATCAACGAGGCGTACAAACATCGAGGCGTACAAACATCAAGGAGGCGTACAAACATCAATGAGGCGAACAAACATCAACGAGGCGTACAAACATCAACGAGGCGTACAAACATTAACGAGGCGTACAGAGATCAACGAGGCGTACAGACATCAACGAGGCGTACAGACATCAACGAGGCGTACAAACATCAACGAGGCGTACAAACATCATTGAGGCGTACAAACATCAACGAGGCAAACAAACATCAACGAGGCGAACAAACATCAACGAGGCGAACAAACATCAACGAGGCGAACAAACATCAACGAGGCGAACAAACATCAACGAGGCGAACAAACATCAACGACGCGTACAAACATCAACGACGCGTACAAACATCAACGAGGCGTACAGACATCAACGAGGCGTACAGACATCAACGAGGCGAACAAACATCAACGAGATGAACAAACATCAACGAGGCGAACAAACATCAACGAGGCGAACAAACATCAACGAGGCGTACAAACATCAACGAGGCGTACAAACATCAACGACGCGTACAAACATAAACGACGCGTACAAACATCAACGAGGCGTACAAACTTCAAAGAGGCGTACAAACATCAACGAGGCGTACAAACTTCAAAGAGGCGTACAAACATCAACGAGGCGTACAAACATCAAAGAGGTGTACAAACATCAACGAGGCGTACAAGCGTCAACGAGGCGTACAAACATCAACGAGGCGTACAGACATCAAAGAGGCGTACAGGTTTCAAAGAGGCGTACAGACATCAACGTTCCTGCTCTCCAACACAAGCTCAACCAGGTCGAGCTCTCAAAGCACATCACACTAGAAATCGACAACACTCTTCCTCGATGTTCTTCTCTACAAAGCTGACCAAGACCTACCAACCAACACGATCTTCTTCACTTCTACTCTCACCACGACACCAAAACTAAACGTGGTGTAATCATAGGCTTTTTCCTTCGTGTCCTGCGAATATGTAGCAATGAGTTCTTCGAGGAAGAATACTCGCTCATCGAACAAATATTTTCTAAACTTCATTATTCTCGTCACTTCATTAGAGACTGCAGACGACGGCCATATCAAATCTTCAACTCACCCAGACAACATACTACCGAGAGGATATATCACATAAGAAGCATACAGCACTTAGGTGAAACAGAACCAGATAACAATACACAAATAACCCGCACATGAAAGAGAGGAGCATACGACGACGTTTCGGTCTGACTTGGACCATTTACAAAGTCACACGTGACTTAAGAAATCGTAATGACACGATTGCAAATAAACCATACCCCCGGCCGGGATTGAACCCGCGGTCATAGAGTCTCAAAACTCCAGCCCGTCGCGTTATGTTGACGGCAGTGAAGGGACTTGAGCTAGAGTTCGTCACGGCCACGCTAGCTGGAGATTCGTCTGTAAAAACTTGCATTTGTGGTCACAGAGGTGCCTGTGCTAACCTTCCTATGGTGTAGAAATACACCTAGTTGGATGAATCTTATTGTGGCTAGCTGGTCTAGTGGCTAACGCGACGGGCTGGAGTTTTGAGACTTATGACCGGGGTTCAATCCCGACCGGGGGTATGGTTCACACGTGACTTTGTAAATGGTCCAAGTCAGACCGAAACGTCGTCGTAAGCTCCTCTCTTTTATGTGCGGGTTATTTGTGTATCGTTCCAGTCACGGTATTGTGCCTTTTTTTGTTAACCAGATAACAAATAAATAATTGTATACCCCTTTTATATGCAGTGTAGTGCAGTAATATAGAGCCTCGCTGGAGTCCAGTTAGAAGATATTACGTCCAGAGGCACACGTTAATGACGACTGCATTTTCAAAAAGTATAAAAAAATGGGAAATATATCAATGTAAGGGATTTAAAGTCAGGTACTTTTTGTAAATGTTTGGGAATTTTTGTGTGTGTAGAACGAAGTTTGGGACTCTGTTCATGTTTTGAAAATGATATTTCGTATTCCAGGTCCGGGTGTTACTTTGTGTCGAAGTTGATTTTTTAGTGAAATAAGGAACTCATGCAGAGCCGATTCGCCTTTATTAAGGATATATTTTATATGGTATTTTTTCGTATCTAAATGGTGCCATCTTCAGTGTTTGGTCTATTATTATCACAGTCATGGGGGGCTAAACTCATATGGGGTCATAAGCGCATGGAGGAGTGAGAAGCAATAAGATTCGATGTCATTCTTTCAGTTCTTTGAATCAAGAGCTTTCTTCCTGCATCAAGGCCCCACACGATATTCCTCTTCAAGGAGGAGGATGAGGAGGGGTTTTATTGAGGCCGGTGATGAGCTCTTGATCCACGGAACTAGAGCTGTCCTCCCCTAGATCAAATCTGATTGCCTCTCACTTTTCTGGCACCATATGAAGCGTAAATATAATTATAATAATATATAACATTTATGATTGTTCGTGGTTCAATAGGTTAAAGAAGCAGTATTATTAGGCTAAGTAAATGCTAGTATTATATTTCCCTACGTCATATTTCTGCACCAAACATTCGCGAATTTTCAAGAGTCACGAGGTTCTTCATCCCCTAACCCTCGCGAATGTGGAGGACCTCCTGTATAAAAAAACAATGTCAATTAATCTATGCTCGGCATTTTGAGTCGACTTCAACGTCGCCACAGACAGTTGTCGAACTCTGCGATGAGGTTGAAAACCTGAAGGTTCTTGCGGTGTAGGTAGCAGAAGAAAGCTACCAGGAACACACAGTCGATTACCAGTCCGAGGAGCAGAGAGGCGATGTTCACTGTCACAGGAGAGAGTGGTCGTGGTACCTGAACCTGTCCTGGTCCTTGCGTCACCCACACCTGGGGAAGATAGTGCAGCTGAGACACACAAACCGAGTTATGACACTTTATTTACGAAGACGTTTCAGTCACCAGGGACTTCATCAAATTAGACACAATTACGGTGAGGATTTTTATTGAGACGTTTCGCCTTGGGAATAAGCTTCCTTCAGTAAATCAATAGAAAGCATCTGTTTCTCTATCACCCGTACCTGCTGTCAGCTGTTTGTTCGGGAACCTCTTGTGGCACATGTCAGTGCGGGTCTTTTGAGATGCTGACGAAGATGAAGTCGGCTCTACAGGAGCCTTCCCTCCGGGTACAAACAAGGCGTCCATACCTTCCTTCTCTCCTTCAAGCGTTCCTCCTCCTCTACCTGTGTGCTGGTCATGACGAGGCGAGGCCGACACCCTCCGCCTCTGGAACTCCACCAGGCAGTGACACACGAAGAAGAGGAAGAAGCGGAGGATAAAATAGAAGAACCACACGTCAATGGCCTTTGGCGACGCCGAGGCTGGTAGCGTACTCACCGACTGTCACAGATAATTAACGTCTCTAAATTATTACAGCCATTGTATCACGGGAAGTAATTGCAGCCAGTATTTGGAATCTTTTGAAATATGTCTGAAGAGGCGTTTTTTTTCCCTCACGAACAAGTAATATATTAGTGGAACATACACGGAAATGCAAAATTATGTAACGATGAATTTGCTCAGTAAGTACTGCATGTGGGAAGCATTATTATTATTATTATTATTATTATTATTATTATTATTATTATTATTATTATTATTATAAAACTAGATGTTTATTGGATAATTTGAGAATTATTTGATAATAATGAGAGACTCTTGATCCAATGAATTTAAGATATTTTTGCCCTTTGATCGAATATGATTGTCATTCATTTCTCAGGCGTTGTATGAGGTACCCCACCATGGTAATGGTACGAGGTACCCCACCATGGTAATGGTATGAGGTACCCCACCATGGTAATGGTATGAGGTACCCCACCATGGTAATGGTACGAGGTACCCCACCATGGTAATGGTACGAGGTACCCCACCATGGTAATGGTACGAGGTACCCCACCATGGTAATGGTATGAGGTACCCCCACCATGGTAATGGTATGAGGTACTCCACCATGGTAATGGTATGAGGTACCCCCACCATGGTAATGGTATGAGGTACTCCACCATGGTAATGGTATGAGGTACTCCACCATGGTAATGGTACGAGGTACCCCCACCATGGTAATGGTATGAGGTACCCCACCATGGTAATGGTACGAGGTACCCCCACCATGGTAATGGTATGAGGTACCCCACCATGGTAATGGTACGAGGTACCCCCACCATGGTAATGGTATGAGGTACCCCACCATGGTAATGGTATGAGGTACCCCACCATGGTAATGGTATGAGGTACCCCACCATGGTAATGGTACGAGGTACCCCACCATGGTAATGGTACGAGGTACCCCACCATGGTAATGGTATGAGGTACCCCACCATGGTAATGGTATGAGGTACCCCACCATGGTAATGGTATGAGGTACCCCACCATGGTAATGGTACGAGGTACCCCACCATGGTAATGGTATGAGGTACCCCACCATGGTAATGGTATGAGGTACCCCCACCATGGTAATGGTACGAGGTACCCCCACCATGGTAATGGTATGAGGTACCCCCACCATGGTAATGGTACGAGGTACCCCCACCATGGTAATGGTACGAGGTACCCCCACCATGGTAATTGTACGAGGTACCCCCACCATGGTAATGGTATGAGGTACCCCCACCATGGTAATTGTACGAGGTACCCCCACCATGGTAATGGTATGAGGTACCCCCACCATGGTAATGGTATGAGGTACCCCCACCATGGTAATTGTACGAGGTACCCCCACCATGGTAATGGTATGAGGTACCCCACCATAGTAATGAGTCAAAAATTCAACATTATGACAAAATTTATATACAGCACTACGTTTCTCCCATGAAGGGGGCAAAACGTCGGCTGCAAAAGAATTCCATTATGGAAGTTAATCTTCTATTGAAAATCAATCGTGGCAAAAAAAAAAAAAAACGTAATGAGTATTGTTACATTTTTAAGCACAGAATTATTTGTTCAACAGATATAATAATTCCTTAATTATTATTATTATTATTATTATTATTATTATTATTATTATTATTATTATTATTATTATTATTATTATTATTATTTCTTTACTCTTCGTGTTCAGTTTATATTTGTGAACATTTTATATGTACAGAATATTAAGTCAGTTTTATTAAATGCATTTCTTAATATGCATATTTTTTGCCTTTTGTTAATGTCCGCTTTTTAGCAAATTAATTTAGAGATGAGAGTAAAAGAATATTGGTGACTGAGGGTCAGTTTTAGTTCGTAGGTTTCGATATTACAGAAACGTCAACGACTGGTCACAGACCGGGCCGCGGAGGCGTTGACCCCCCGAACTTTCTACAGGTAAACTGGTTAAGTTCATTGATCACTTGCGTGAACACTCCAGGGTGGACTTAGTCGCCCAAAAATCTGTATTGAAAGTGATTATTATTATTATTATTATTATTATTATTATTATTATTATTATTATTATTATTATTATCATGGGGGAACGCTAAACCTGTAAGGATTATACAGCGCCTGTGGGGGGTGGGTGATGGAAGGTATTCAGGCTTAAATCAGGGAACCGGAGCACAGATTCGATTCCCTAGATCACGAGCCCCTCACCAGAGTCAAAAAACCTCCCTTGAGAGGGGTAAAAGGGGTAATAATATCAACAGGATTTCCCTCTTGTTTCAAACATTCTGTTGTTCGTTATGGTTTCAGGGAGGTTTCTTTATGGTTTCAGGTAGGTTTCTTGAGTACTGGACCCTAGTGCGCCTCTTCTACCTTGTGCACGGTATCTAGCAAGGGTGAACTTCTATATATGAAGCGATATCTAGTAGATATGGCGTCTGTAGGGTACAATATTTAGCAAATGTATATCAATTGTAATTGGCGAATTATTTCGCTACTTACAATCCATATACATTACCAGATATCGATAAACATAGCTAGAGATTGACCTGCAGCAGGTGAATCTTTAGCAAACGATACCTAAGACAGGTAAGCCTCTGTGGAACGATACCTGGCACATTTGATCTTCTAACTATAAATATATAGCTAGCGCAGGTAAAGCTAGCCTAACCTGAGAGAAAAGGGCAGCAACGACGATGAGGAGTGAGAGGGAGGTGTTGGCCCTCTCGCTGAAGTGATTGAGAGGGAAGGCCAGGAAGGAGAGGTGACCAAGGAGTCCCAACACCAGACACGGACCCACAGCTGACAGCAGGAAGGCTTCACTACGACGTTCCAGCACCATCACCATCAACACCTCCTGCAACACAAGACTTGCTCTGCCAGATGGTGCCGACAGGTACAGAGATTTTCCCCAAGAACGTTTTTAGTCACAACGCTGAGCATGACGTCTGAACAGAGACTAAATCCGCATACTTCTGTCTCTTTATAATGTAAAGTAATAAATGACATGACAGGGTAATAAATGATTTAATACATGGCACAGTATTGTAATTCATAACTTAATACAGCAATACATAGAGCAGTAATACATGACTTAATACAATAAAGCATGACATATGTATCGCTAAACCATCCAAATAAAATGGTATCTGGCTGTTCGCCTTCAAAGGGCTTATTACACACACACGCACACACACACACACACACACACACACACACACACACACACACACACACACACACACACACACACACACACAATATATATATATATATATATATATATATATATATATATATATATATATATATATATATATATATATATATATATATATATATGTCGTGCCGAATATGTAAAACTGGTCAATTAGCAAGAACTCATTTAAAATTAAGTCCTTTCGAAAATTTTCTCTTATACCTTTAAAGATATAGTTTTTTCATTAATGTTAATGTAAAAAAATTTAATTTTGCACCAAAAAAATCTTAGAAAACTTACCTAACCTTATTATAACAAGAACAATTTATTTTAGCCTAACCCAACTAAATATATTTTAGATTTGTTTACAGTAATTTAATACTAAACAAACACAGTGAAATATATTTTTTTCGTTACATTCAGAATGATTTTAGTGAAATTATTGCATACACAAATTTTCGCTTGACCTATATGGCACGATGAGCGTTGCTATTTAAGCCAAGATCGCAAGTTCTGCCTATTCGGCACGACATATATATATATATAAATCCCCTGGAAGGCGAACTGCATTATATATACAACTAACAATTTATAATTTAAGGTAGTGGCAGCCTTAAATTGTAGGGAAAGTGAGCACCTGATGTGATAACATGTTAGGTGACCTAAGACTTTCAGGTGACACACCTGTAAATACAGCCAAGAATACCGTGCCACTACAGAACAACTGTGATGTTAATCTCTGAAACTTGCATATTAACCTCACAATAGTCAAAGCGAAAAGTAAAACACTTTTTTTGATCACAATATCAGTCTCTAACAACATTGCGTTGTTAGAGACTGATATTCGCCAAAAAAAAAAACTTGAGACACTCACCATGGGCTCAACGGGGTTAAACCCGCAGCGCAGAGGAAGTAAACGAAACACGGGTAACATCTGACCCCCTCCAGTGATGACCAGGTGTTCCTTGTCGACACTTGGCGTTCCGTGGCCCACCAGTGCCACCGGAACCACACACAGCTGTTGCAGTAGTTGTTGTAGCAGTAGTATTATCATCAGTGGGAAGCGCTAAAACTGTATGGGGGGGATCATACATCACATGGGGAATGGGAGTTAATCGGGTTCGATCCTTAGAGCAGGAGTCACCGTCACCGGCGTGAAGGTACCTTTCTGGGATTCCTTACCTTCCTTCAACAAACTATAATTTAGAATCTCACAAAGTTACATAACAAATACTATTTAAAGTTCAGTAACAAACTCTATTTAAATAAAGTTCAATAATAAACATTGATATATATTTCAATAATAAACATTGATATATATTTCAATAATAAACATTGATATATATTTCAATAATAAACATTGATATATATTTCAATAATAAACACTGATATATATTTCAACAATAAACATTGATATATATTTCAATAATAAACATTGATATATATTTCAATAATAAACATTGATATATATTTCAATAATAAACATTGATATATATTTCAATAATAAACATTGATATATATTTCAATAATAAACATTGATATATATTTCAATAATAAACATTGATATATATTTCAATAATAAACACTGATATATATTTCAATAATAAACATTGATATATATTTCAATAATAAACATTGATATATATTTCAATAATAAACATTGATATATATTTCAATAATAAACATTGATATATATTTCAATAATAAACATTGATATATATTTAATAATAAACACTGATATATATTTCAATAATAAACATTGATATATATTTCAATAATAAACATTGATATATATTTCAACAATAAACATTGATATATATTTCAATAATAAACATTGATATATATTTCAATAATAAACATTGATATATATTTCAACAATAAACATTGATATATATTTCAATAATAAACATTGATATATATTTCAATAATAAACATTAATATATATTTCAATAATAAACATTGATATATATTTCAATAATATTGATATATATTCCAATAATAAACATTGATATATATTTCAATAATAAACATTGATATATATTTCAATAACAAAATACATTTACGTAAAGTTCAATAAAGAATATTTATCTAAATAAAGTTTAGTGAGAATCTATTTACTTACATAAGGTATAATAAAAAAAATATTTACCCAGATAAAGTTCATTTAGAAGTGCCGTTTAAAGTTTAAATGAAGTTTCACGATAAAGAAGTCTGATATTTTGTGTTTATAGTTTTGGCAACTTGTTAATATGGCAACTGTGAATTTTGTATGAGGGTAAGCGAAGGCCTACGTGCACACGTGTGAGCATGTACCTGTAGGTACGTGTGTATGTGCACATGTTAGAGTGTATGTTGGTTAACGAGACACCTGGAAGAGGGAGGATGCTGGAAGAACTTGTAATAATCTCAAGACTTATTCTTAGACTTACGTCTTAGTGTAAGAAACTCGTGAATCCAAAATATTACCCACATATCAGGAAATATTACCCATGTCCTGCCTTTCCAAAATTACACATGCATAAAAAACAATGATCCATATACCCAAAGATATTACTTATAACTTAAAAATATTACCCATTCACTCGGAAAATTAACAATATACATTTCAGATATTGTCATTATCGTTCCCGTTAATTAAATTTAATATCAAAGTGACCTGTGGTTTAAATTATTAAAAGATGGCATAAATACAAGATATGTATCCCGAAGGGTATATTTCTCTCTCTCTCTCTCTCTCTCTCTACATATATATATATATATAATATATATATATATATATATATATATATATAATATATATATATATATATATATATATATATATATATATATATATTATATATATATATATATATATATATATATATATATATATATATATATATATATATATATATATATATATATATATATATATATATATAAACTGAAAGTTGGCTTTAATCTTTCATGGATTAAAGTATTCTCTGGTAGTGAAAAATCTCAGGTGCAGCCTTAATGACCCTTAGTGTAGTCGATAGATATTAAAAGCCATTAGATAATCAGCTATGAACCATAGTGTGAACCTTGGTAAATAATACCAAACTGTGCTTTTTATTAAATGACAAACACGAGGACATATCAGAAAACGTTTCTATAACTTCTAACAGGGTAGAAGAGAGCAACCTCCAAGGACCGAAACGCTTTTTTTTCTTTCTTTTTAAACACAATTATAAGATGGCGAGTGACTCACCTGGACGTCGAAAGGGAAGGCGGTAAGATCGGCGGGGCAGTAAGATGAGACGAACATTGACTGGTGCAGCTCGATGATCACTTCACTGCCAGGGTACTCCAGTGCTGAGACAACAATACTGGTTAGTGACAAGCCTCTACCAACACCACCACCACCACTACCACCTCCATTGCCAGGGTACTCCAGTGCTGAGACAACAATACTGGTTAGTGACCAGGCTCTACCAACACCACCACCACCACTACCACCACTGCCAGAGTACTCCAGTGCTGAGACAACCATACTGGTTAGTGACCAGCCTCTACCAACACCACCACCACTACCACCACTAACACCACCACTGCCAGGGTACTCCAGTGCTGAGACAACAATACTGGTTAGCGACCAGCCCCTACCTACACCACCACCACCACTACCACCACCACTGCCAGGGTACTCCAGTGCTGAGACAACAATACTGGTTAGTGACCAGCCTCTACCAACACCACCACTACCACCACCACTGCCAGGGTACTCCAGTGCTGAGACAACAATACTGGTTAGTGACCAGCCTCTACCAACACCACCACCACCACTACCACCACCACTGCCAGGGTACTCCAGTGCTTAGACAACCATACTGGTTAGCGACCAGCCCCTACCAGCACCACCACCACCACTACCACCACCACTGCCAGGGTACTCCAGTGCTGAGACAACAATACTGGTTAGTGACCAGCCTCTACCAACACCACCACCACCACTGCCAGGGTACTCCAGTGCTGAGACAACAATACTGGTTAGTGACCAACCTCTACTAACACTACCACCACCACTACCACCACTGCCAGGGTACTCCAGTGCTGAGACAACAATACTGGTTAGTGACCAGCCTCTACCAACACCACCAACACCACCACCACTACCACCACCACTGCCAGGGTACTCCAGTGCTGAGACAACAATACTGGTTAGTGACCAGCCCCTACCAATACCACCACCACCACTTCCACCACCACTGCCAGGGTACTCCAGTGCTGAGACAACAATACTGGTTAGTGACCAGCCTCTACCAACACTACCACCACCACTACCACTACTGCCAGGGTACGCCAGTGCTGAGACAGCAATACTGGTTAGTGACCAGCCTCTACCAACACCACTACCACTACCACCACCACCACAGCCAGGGTACTCCAGTGCTGAGACAACAATACTGGTTAGTGACCAGCCTCTACCAACACCACCACCACCACTACCACCACCACTGCCAGGGTACTCCAGTGCTGAGACAACAATACTGGTTAGAGACCAGCCTCTACCAACACTAGCACCACCACTGCCAGGGTACTCCAGTGCTGAGACAACAATACTGGTTAGTGACCAGCCTCTACCAACACCACTACCACCACCACTGCGAGGGTACTCCAGTGCTGATACAGCAATACTGGTTAGTGACCAGCCTCCGCCACCACTACCACCACCACTACCACCACCACTGCCAGGGTACTCCAGTGCTGAGACAACAATACTGGTTAGTGTCCAGCCTCTACCAACACCACCACCACCACTACCAGGGTACTTCAGTGCTGAGACAACAATACTGGTTAGTGACCAGCCTCTACCAACACCACCACTACCACCACCACTGCCAGGGTACTCCAGTGCTGAGACAACAATACTGGTTAGAGACCAGCCTCTACCAACACTAGCACCACCACTACCACCACTGCCAGGGTACTCCAGTGCTGAGACAACAATACTGGTTAGTGACCAACCTCTACCAACACCACCACCACCACTACCACCACCACTGCGAGGGTACTCCAGTGCTGATACAGCAATACTGGTTAGTGACCAGTGTCTACCAACACCACCACCACTACCACCACTACCACCACTACCACCACCACTGCCAGGGTACTCCAGTGCTGAGACAACAATACTGGTTAGTGGCTGTGGCATGCAAAGAGTATGTAACCTTTATTCGGCGCATGTACACACCCTCATTTACAGGCTATCTCCCCCAACCAGCGAACCAGGTTGCTAAGAGTTGATGATGGGGCCCCGTCGTTCAACTAGTGACCAGGTTCTAGCCAATAAGAAGATGGTTTTGGCAATCGCAGAGGTTATGTGGGTACCACTCTCCTGTCTGCCCTTGTCATTCCCATTCTAGAGCTGGTTAAAGCATGGTCTGTTATCTTGTGGCTTCTATTTCTGCCTTGCTTACCGTGGAGTGCACTATACTTATCACTGTACATAGTGAACATATTGCTGTTCTAAATTGGTGAAGGATAATATAAGTCTAAACTTTTTCTGCTGTGTTTATTTTGCTCCCATTACACCCGGGATAACAGGCCATTTGGAATCCTGGGTTGTAATATGGGGGCCTGTCTGGGAGCTGGAGCTGGACTTAGAGATATGGTTGAGCTTAGGGTGAAGCTCGTAGCAGGAACATTGTGCAGCTTGCTGTTTGGCATTGCATTAGCTTTGCCTACGCTTTACAAACTTTGCGTGTCAATTACTGTTATGGTCAGCCTTGCTATTGTGTGATTGTTCAACAGCTCGCTACTAGCTTGTTCGGTGTGCTCGCTTCGCTACGGTCAATCTTCTAGAACAGTGTAGCTGTCTGGCATTGCTTTACAAATTTTGCGTGTCAGTTGTTACTAGCCTGTTCGGTGTGGAGAATTTTGCAGTCATCTTTGCTTGTATGCATATTCTGCAATCGTACTGTGCATAGCTAAGCGTGTTCTGCAAATTAACGTGTTACGTTAGGGTATTCTGCAATCGTACTGTGCATAGCGAATAACTTATGCCACCTAGACGAGTCAGACGTCTGGTGTCGGCATATACTTTTCATAACCTACCTAAATTGTCCCTACAGCGTTGTTGGCAAATTGCTCGTTCCATTGGCATTAAATACAAACGCACTCTCTCAGCTGCGCAACTGCGTTCACTGATTGCTGACAAACTTATAGAAGAAGAGATGGCACATCAGACTCCTCCCTCTACGGGAGCTAGGGCAAAAACTATGTTCTCGCAGGAGGAAGATGATACACCTACGGAGCAAAATGGTCAGTATAGTGCAGCTGGGTTGTCTCAAGGTGAATCAGCGTCGTTGGCACTTGAGCTGGCAAAAATCAATCTTGAACAAACTAGGGAACAGAGAGCATTCGCAAGCGAAGAATTTGATAGGGAAAGAGAAAGGAGGCAGTTTTCGCATTCTGTAAATAATTTTAGTTTACAGAAAGCAGTACAGTGTGTTCCCCGCTTCAATGAGGCCGAACCAGAAGAAGGAATTGAAATGTAATAATAATAATAATAGTAATTATTATTATTATTATCATCATCATCATCATCATCATCATCATCATCATCATCATCATCATCATCATCATCATCATCATCATCATCATCATCATCATCATCATCATCATCATCATCATTAAAATACACACTTTGCACAGTAATCAGGTTTTGTGTGATAAGGAAGGTGAAAGGTAACATCAGGTCTTTACATGGAAAATCCCTCACCAGCATTGTAAGAAAATAAAGAGAACCAAAGAAAAGAAGAACATTTCGGTAAACCTTCTGACCCATAATATGAAGTAGGTTGAACTCACCTTCACTTAGTTCTTTTAATTATACCTTCCATAACACAACACCGTCATATAACTACTCCTTCTTTGCATATTATTCACACTTTACGTTGATTCTAGACACAGTGTCTCCGCTACTACCTTTGGATTCAATCTCATTGTCCTTCCTCCAGGCGCTGTTTAATCCCTAAAGATTTAGATCGTCCAATAACCATCATTCCTGCTTGAGATTTGGACCTCCCTTTCATTATTAAAATGTCTGAAAATATTCTATGTTTACCTTCGAAACTATCGACCTGTGTGTGAGTGCCGTTTTCTTCCGAGATGAGAATAGCGTAGCTTCTTATGTTTTCCCAAGAGGCGATGTTGAGGTTCTCTTCGAACTTGGCTGTGGGGAAGTAGAGGCCTGGATGCCACAGCTTCTTGATGGTGTGAGGCTCCAAGTCGTTGCTGTACCAGGGAGACCTTTGCAGGTTGTGGAACACCAGTCGCTCGTCCCGCCACGACAGGGTCACATCCAATACCACCTGCAGAAGGAAACAGGCTCGTCAGAAGGTCGTATGTTAAGTCTTGCACCGCCTGCAGGAGGCAGTGGTCGTCAGCTGGTTGCGTGTGATGTCTGATATTGCCTGCAGAAGAGAACAAGCATCAGGTGCATAAAAAAACTACACCAGTTGGATATCTTTATTTCTGAGACGTTTAACCTGTTCAACAAGCTTCTTCAGTCGAAATATAGAGGTGACTTGTATGTGGTAGTGGAAAGGTAGAAGAGGGACTAACCACCTCATCTACCTCTCCATATTTAGATCATCTCTGCTTCTCGACGGAAGAATCCTGCTGAGCAGGCAGAACCTCTCAGGAGTAAACATATCAAAATGTTTCACTTATGTCTTACTTATTCACATGTAGATACAATTTACCATAAATGTATTAAGCATCATGTTGTGGTGGATCAAGGCTAGAACTGCCTGTAGGAGATAAGGCAGCCGTTGCGAGGCAGTAGATAACCTTGAGGGGATGTTGGGGACGGTAAAGGCAAATAGTCGTAGCTCCCAGTTAATTATGAGCCTCAAAGGACAAATAATTGAATATCTGTATAGTTTGACCGCTAGCTCCTTATACTTATTAAAGATGAATTGTTGATCTCTCAATATTGCCAGGTTCTTCTGTATCTTTTTAGTAATAACATTGTCATTAAGTAATGAGACCATCAAAATGTAATTACCAAAATGAGACCCATATGTAGGCTTCATGTAGACTGCTTATGCATGCAAGGTTGCTGGAACTGTAATCAAGATTATATTTTTGTATAAACATCCTTCTCTTACCTCTATCATGTTGTTATCGGTGTCCATATTCCTGACGTAGGCCAGATGGAGGCTCACGTTGACCCGGTGGTCCTGTGGCGTCCTCTTGCTGAAGTAATGCTCAGATACGCCCTGCAGCTGCCAACACGTCACGTCGTCGTCAGAGAAATCGTCGCAGTCGGCTAGGATACCGTCGCAGCGCCTGGTCAGAGGGATGCACTGGCCGCTCGAACACGTATATTGCCCCGGGCCGCAGGTGGAGAGGGTTAAATTTTTTGTACTACCATCGCTGGTGACCCAGGAGCTGCGACCCAGGAAATGCTGACTGTGAGGAACCCTCCAGTACATTACCTGGCCGCACGAGGTTTGGATTTCTACCCTTGACTCGTTCCAGACAACCCTCCCTCTTCTTACCCCTTCCAGAGTGAGGTTACCCCGTTCCATACTCTCCTGGACTATAATAAACTTATTGTCCTCCCCCACACGATCACCTTTCAGTGTGATAAATATATTTCTGGGAACGAAACAGCATACGAAGCTAACGGTCTTCTGACAAGGCCACTTGGCACGCTCATGGTTCACACCCTTTTCGTAAAAACCCACGTCACACATTTCTTTACTTCCTGCCGTTTCTGAATTGAACGAAGGGGTAAACAGCCACATATCTATGTAATCTAAAGTAATTTTTTGTAGACACATGAGCATAATAGTGTCTAGGTCAAAAACCTGGACATCAGGTAAAGACCCTCCATATGACTGACAAATCTTGAAAGACTCTGGGTAACTATTTTTGTCATAAAAAATCAAAGCTGTGTAGTTTGGACGTGGCTGCAAGAGCTCGTCGTAAGTGAAAGTTTGAAGGACACCCCCAGCCTGGTTCCCAGTAACTCTGTCGACGACGAATCCGAGGTTGTGATGAAGG